TTATATCATTATTAAATTTTTTTATTTAAAAAAATAATTATATTTTTACAATTATAATTTTTGAAAATTAATAATAATTTATAAACATCATCCAGCGATAAAATTGAAATATCCTAATTTTTAATTTTTTAAAAGTAAATTCTGAGTACAAATTAAACTTCAGATTTTAAAAAATAATTTAAGAAATAATTTGTATTTTGTATTTTTTAAAACTTGTTTTAAAAATTTCAATTTGACAAAAAAAAAAAAAACATAAATAGCTTTATTTTATTATAATAATAATGTCTGCGCGAAGAATTTTTGATGATTCAGAAATTAAGACTCAACATTTTGAGAAAACTAATCTAACATCACTTTTTATAATTTTTAATATCACTTTTTATAATTTTGAAAATTCTTAGACTGATTTCACTGAAATTTAAATATAGATTTTTTTTTTAAATAAAAATAAATAATCTGTTAACAAATTTTTTAAATCAAAAATTAAAATTTAAAATTTTATGAAAAAAATCTTATTAGTATAATGTCAACGTTATCGATACAACATAGGATAAGATTGCAATATAGATGAAATAGAAGAATTTTATTTTTATTTTATTATTTCTAGTTTATTATAACCAATCTCAACATTATTTGAATCATAATAAGTTAATGAAGTGTGTTACGGAATATAAATCTATAAAAGCTATAAAATATATAATTTGTAATAAAAGTATAGCTTTTAATTTTTGACAGATTTAATTTTGTATATGTATTGTATTTAAATTATAGCATGCTAGATGGCATAGGAAACATTTTGATCTATTTTCAAGATTGACTCAATCGATATTTTAGAACGTGAAATACAAATATAGTTTAACAAATAAATAATAAAAAAAATTAGACATTAAATAATCATATTAATATTAATTTAATAATTAATAATTTAAATATTTTTTATTAAAAAATTAAAAAATATATATTATGTTATGAATAAACTATTTTCTTTTGATAATTGGATGTTTAAATAAATCTTAATTCTTTTATAGATTTATATTCTGTAACACACTAATTATGATTTAAATAATGTTGGGNTTTTAAATAATATATATATATATATAATTCTTTTTAAATAATTGTTTTGTTTATACTAATAATTGAATTTTTTTAATATATATTTAGAATAGAATTGAATTTTGGTATCTTCTATGTCAATGACACGTTTGAAATAATTTATTTCAGAATAGAATGCGATAGTTCCTAATTTATTTTAATATAGAAGAATTTCGAAATACATTACAAAATAATAGAATTTAAAAGATGATTCAAATCAAAGGTCGATTAAACAAAAAACAAAAAGATAATATTTTGACAGAACAAGATCGTTTAATGAATAGATAGCAAAAATCATCTTGATGAGCAAAATTTCATAGTTGAAGTTAGGTATAATGTTATTTCGTTAAATTATTTCAATAATTTATTGTTGTTTAAAACAAAATAATAATCGCAAATAATTATAGTCCAACGACCGAGATTATATGAAAAAGGGTATAATAGTTACGAATAAATTATATACAAATTTTAATAAGTAGCTATTTAAAGTAACTTTATTTCTTTATTTATTTATACATTTATTTATATATTTATTTATACATTTATTATATATTTATTTATACATTTTTTATTATTTACTTTTTAATACCCAAATTCCGACAAAAAATTAAACGTTAAGTAATTATACATTAATTTATTAATATAATAATTTAAATATTTTTTAATTAAAATAAAAAGTAAATTCAAAGTAAACTTCAAGTAAAATTCAAA